TCTCCTTCTCGACCTTGGGTTCCCTATTACCAACTTTACTGTCCCCTCCTGCCTTCTAGTCCTTGCCCAGGGCTGGTGTGCCCCTTTAGTCTCATTTTGTTCACCCTTTGGCTGAATGGTGAACCTCAGGAGTGACTTCACTACTGAGCTAAAAGGGTGTCTGGGGCCCATACTCTTGGGGTTTCTCCAGTCTCTGTCAGATCAGTAAGTCTGGTCTTTTTTTGTGAGTTAGAATTTTGTTCTACAATTTTCTCCAGCTCTGTCCGGGACCCTCTGTTGTGATCCCTGTCAGAGCAGTCAGTGGTGGTAGCTGGGCACCATCTAGTTGTACGAGACTCAGTCTGGTGGAGGCCATGTTAGTTGTGGTCCATTAGTCCTTTGGACTAATCTTACCCTTGTATCATTAGTTTTCTTCATTCTCCCTTGCTCCTGAAGGAAACCAGTGGAGTATCTTAGATGGCCGCTCACAGGCTTTTAAGACCCCAGACGCTACTCACCAAAGTAGAACGTAGAACATTTTCTTTATAAACTACATTATGCCAATTGAGCTAGATGTTCCCTGAGATCATGGTCCCCAAGGCCCTCAGCCCAGTAATTCAATCCCTCAGGGAGTTTGGATGTGTCGTGGAGCTTCCATGACCTTGCCTCACCCAAGTTGTGCTGGCTTCCCCAGTATTGTGTACTGTCTTTGGCTTCACCAAAGTTACCACTTATCTATTGTCTATTTAGTGTTTTTCTATTCCCACCCCTCCCCTCCCTCGTAACCATCAAAGATTGTTTCTTTTTGTTCGTAAACTTTTTCATGTATTTTTATAATAGTGATCTCATACAATATTTGTCTTCTTGTGATTGACTTATTTCACTCAGCATAATGTCCTCCAGCTTCATCCATGTTGTGAGATGCTTTGCAGATTCATCATTGTTCTTTATCATTACATAGTACTCCATTGTGTGTATGTACCATAGTCTGTTTATCCATTCATCTGTTGATGGGCATCTAGGTTGTTTACATCTTTTTGCTATTGCAAACAATGCTGCAGTAAACATGGGTGGGTATATGTCTACTTGTGTGATGACTCTAATTTCTCTAGGATATATTCCTAGGAGTGAGATTGCTGGATCATATGGTATTTCTGTTTATAGCTTTCTAAGGAAGTGTCATATCGTTTTCCAAAATGGTTGTATCTGGGTTGCTTTTTATTGCTGAGTTGTTAAATATTTTAGAGATTAAACCTTTATCAGGTATGTCATTTCCAAAGATTTTTTCCCAGTCTTTAGGCTCTCTTTTTACTTCCTTGGAAAAGTCTTTTGATGAGCATTAGTATTTAATTTTCAGGAAGTCCCAGTTATCTAGTTTATCTTCTGGAGTTTGTGCATTTTTAGTTATGCTTGATATTCTATTTATGCCATAAATTAGGGCCCTTAGTGTTGTCCCTATGTTTTCCTTCATGAACTTTATAGTTTTCGGTTTTACATTTAGGCCTTTGACCCATTTTGAGTTAGTTTTTGTGTATGGGGTGAGGTATGGATCCTGTTTCATTTTTCTGCAAATAGATATCCAGTTTTGCCAGCACCATTTGTTGAAGAGACTATCTCTTCCCCATTTAATGGATTTCAATCTTTTGTCGAAGATCAGGTGTCCATAGGTGGATGGATTTATTTCTAGGTTCTCAATTCTGTTCCATTGGTTTATGTGTCTGTTGTTGTACCAGTACCAGGCTGTTTTGACTACTGTAGCTATATGATAGGTTCTGAGATTGGGTAGGGTGAGGCCTCCTACTTTGTTCTTCTTTTTCAGTAATGTTCTACTTATCTGAGGGCTCTTTCCTTTCCATATAAAATTGATGATTAGTTTTTCCATTTCATTCAAGAATGTTGTTGGGATTTGGATCAGGATTGTACTGTACCTATAGATTGCTTTGGGTAGTATTGACATTTTCACAATGGTAAGTCTTCCTATCCATGAGTATGGTATGTTTTTCCATTTATGAAAGTCTCTTTTGGTTTCTTGCAGTGGTGTTTTGTAGTTTTCTTTGTATAAGTATTTTATGTCCCTAGTAAGGTTTATTCCTAAATATTTTATCTTTTAGGGGGCTACTGTAAATAGTATTGTTTCCTGATTTCCTTTTTGGAGTTCTCTTTGTTAATGTAGAGGAATCTGGCTGATTTTTGTACGTTGATCTTGTACCCTGCCACTTTGCTGAATCCTTCTATTAGTTCTAGTAGCTTTCTTGTGGCTTCTCTAGGATCTTCTATGTATAGGATAATATCATCTGCAAATAGGGATAGTTTTACTTCTTCCTTACCAGTGTGGGTGCCTTTATTTCCCTTTCTTGTTTTATTGCTGTAGCTAGGACTTCCAGTACAATATTGAATAAGAGTAGTGATAAAGGGCATCCTTTTCTGGTTCCCGTTCTCAGGAAGAATGCTTTCAGTCTCTCGCCACTGAGAATAATGTTGACTGTTGGTTTTGTGTATATGTCCTTAATTACGTTGAGGGATTTCCCTTCTATTCCTATTTTGGTGAGAGTTTTTATCAGGAATGGGAGTTGCACTTCATCAAATGCCTTTTCTGCATAGATTGAGATGATCATGTGATTCTTTTCCTTTGTTTTATTTATGTGGTGGATTATGTTGTTTGATTTTCTAATGTTGAACCATCCTTGCATACCTAGTATGAATACCACTTGGTCATGATGTATTTTTCTTTTTTGGATATGCTGTTAGATTCTATTGGCTAGAATTTTGTTGAAAAATTTTTCATCAATGTTAATGAGGGATATTAGTCTATAATTTACTTTTTCTTTTTTAGTGGTGTCTTTGCCTGGTTTTGGTATCAGGGTTATGCTGGCTTCGTACAGTGAATTTGGGAGTATTCCTTCCTTTTTTATGTTCTGGAATAGTTTGAGTTGTACTGGTGTCAACTCTTCTCTGAATGTTTGATAGAATTCTCCAGTGAAACCATCTGGGCGAGGGTTTTTTGATGGTGGTGGTGGTAGGTTTCTTTTTTATTTTTTTTATGATTTCTTCTTTTGTTATGGGTCTGTTCAGATTTTCTACCTCAGTTAGTTTCGGTGGGTAGTGTGTTTCTAGGAACTTGTCCATTTCCTCTAGTTTTCAAATTTGGGGAGCATAATTTTTTGTAGTATTGTTATGATCCTTTTTATTTCACTTGGTTCTATTGTGATGTCACCCATCTCATTTCTTATCGGGGTTATTTGTATTTTCTCTTGTCAGTTTGGCCAGTGGTTTGTCAATTTTATTGATCCTTTCAAAGAACCATCTTCTAGTCTTGTTAATTGTTTCAATTGTTTTTCTGTTTCATTTATTTCTGCTCTAATCTTTATTATTTCCTTTCTTCAGGCAGCTGTGGGCTTCTTTTGCTACTCTTTTCCTATTTGTTCAAGTTGTACAGTTAAGGTATTGATTTTGGCCCTTTCTTCTTTTTTGATGTGTGCATTTATTGCCATAAATTGGCCTCTGAGCACTGCTTTTGCTGTTTCCCAAAGGTTTTGGTATGTTGTTATTTTCATTCTCATTTGATTCTAGGAATTTTTTAATTTCATTTTTAACTTCTCTTATTATCCAGTGGTTTTTAAGCATGGCGTTGTTCAGTCTCCAAGTATTTGATTTTTTTCCTTGTTTTTCCTGTTACTGATTTCTCATTTTACGGTGTTTTGATCTGAGAGATGCTTTGTCTTATTTTTATATTTTGTAATTTATTGAGGCTTGCTTTGTGGCCTAAGATATGGTCTATTCTAGAGAATGATCCATGTGTGCTGGAGAAGAACGTGGTACTTCATTCCTTTTGATGGCTGAAAAATATTCCATTGTATGTCCATACAACATTTTGTTTATCCATTCATCAGTTGATGGACATTTGGGTTGTTTCCACTTTCTGACTATTATGGGTAATGTTGCTATGAGCATTCATGCACAGGTTTTTGTGTGGACAAGATTATGAGCCCCAACAGGACAAGGGCTGTATATTTTTATATCTCTAATCCCTGGTCTATAGCGCCCTGGTGGTGAAATGGTTAAGAGTTTGGCTGCTAACCAAAAGGTCAGCAGTTCGAACCTACCAGCCGCTCCTTGGAAACCCTATGGGGCAGTTCTACTCTGTCCTATAGGGTGGCTATGAGTTGGAATCGACTCAACGGCAATGGGTTTTGGTTTGGTTTTAATTCCTGGTCTATACAAAAAAAAAAAAAAAAACCATTTCCGTGAGTCGATTCCGACTCATAGCGAACCTATAGGACAGAGTAGAACTGCCCCATAGGATTTCCAAAGAGTAGCTGGTGAATTTAAACCGCTGACTTTTTGGTTAGCAGCCATGTATCTTAACCAGTGCGCTACCAGGGCTTCTCCTTGTCTGTAGGAGACCTTAATAAATGTTCTTGAATGAATGCGTCAGGCAAAGCAGGGAGCTTAATGTCCTAGGCCAGACTAGGAGTCTTTAATTGAACGTTTACAGCCACCTAGTTTTCAGAGTGGTCTGCAAAGTGTGCCACACAGGAATTCTGGGCTGGAAAAGGCCCTTGAGCTTACCTCACTTAGGAGTTTTCAAATCTCTTTTATGATCACAATATAACGTATACAAACATATTATAAATTATCCACACACATTAAAATATAAAACAGAAGTGGTAGAAGACGTGGGACTGGGAAGAAGAGATGGAGGAGGGGTGATGAAAATTGAAGTCCTGTCTATGTAATTTTTTCAGTGGCTCCTAAGACACCACAATAAAACCAAGTCTGCAGAATAACTGAACTAGTCCAATGCCCTAATTTTACAAATCAGGGGAGGGGTGCTCTTGGGCATGAGAAGTGACTTGTTCAAGGTCACACAATTAGTGGCAGAGTGGGAGAAGGACTCAGCTCACAGAATGTTCCTCTATTGAATTCAGCCTTTATGAGGAGCACCTTGAAACATCCTACACCCCTTCTCCAAGTGTCTAAGATTTTAGTGACCAAGATCCACTGCTTAAAGTATTGTCCCCATGTAATGTATTTTAAAAGTAAAATTAATTTTATGGAAAAAATCTTAAACGGACCAAGGGATATAACATACTGAGCAATTGTCATATTAACCCTTTACTATGAAATGGCGATTTTTCTCTTTGGAAGTTTCTAGGGGGCGCTAAGTGAACGAAAGTACTGATACGGAGCGAGAGGATAAAGGATATATTTTTTTCAGGTTTTAGTTCCTGGGCACCCTTTCCGAACGGCGGCTGAGTGTAGCCTAAGGATAAATTGTGGGGGTAGGGGCTGGTGCAACCCCTCTTGCTGGTTTCTTTGTAATATCTTTCCCCCTCTCCTGCTCCGTAGATCCTCATACCTACAAGGCAAGTCCAAAACTGCTCAGCTTGGCATTCATTCCGGGATCCTGCATCTCTCTCCATGCCCCAAACCCCATCTCCTTGAGTTCCATCGAAGGTCCCAACTTCCGTGGCTAGACTGGTGCTCCCCAAAGTCAGGGCTCATGTCTTAGGTATCTTTGTATTCCCAATACCAAAGGCACAGGTCCTAGTACACCGTGGTGAGTCAAAAAGGGTTTGATGAACCTGCTAAAATCTCTAGCCTTTAGGCTTTTATAAATAACTTCCCACAGGCTGAGTATTCATCACCGCAGAGACGCTACCTCCGTCTCTGCTTCCATGAAATCTCCCACGTAACTCTCGGTGCTTCCCCTTATTGTTTTTCTTCCTTACATTTGTGCCCAGGACTAGCTCAGGGTGGGATCCAAAGCTTTCTCGGCGACCTGCGAAAGCCAGAAAGGACTGTCATCCCTTGGCCGCTCAGAACCTGCAAAGAGAAAGCAAGCCGAACACCTCTAGAACCTCCAGAAATGCGCACGCTGGCCTCCAGAATACAGTTTTTCCTGGGAGGACCCGGACATTGGTTCGCCCGGGCGTCTCTATGGTTTCGACAGCCTAGAAGTACCAAGGCAGCATTTCCGGGAAGATGGCGGCACAGAAATTAGCTCTGGCACATGTTTCCACGGTGGGGACAGCGCAGTGACGGTAAGGGGCACCCGTTCCTCGGAATGGTAGGAGGAGGAGCCTGGGCTCAGAAGTAAATGTGAGGTGGGGAGTGTAGTCTTACCCAAGTCAGACTGCGGCAGGAGGGCTGGAATTTAGACCTCAAGAGGAAGGAGGTCTAGGGAAAGGGCCGCCGGCTGGGCCATTCCGCCGGAAAACTCAGGTTGACTGGAGAGAAGACAATGTCTCTAAGTGTGCTCGAAGCCTTTGCAAAGACTGCGGCTCACGGTCTGGGACTTTGTCGCGTCTGTCCACAGTTATCCGTTAAAGCAGTTCCTACCTATGTGTCATTCAATTCAACGATTACGACTGAACATATTATCGGTTTCTGGCGCTGCATCAGGGGCACTGGGGTTAGGGAATAAAGGCAGTCTCTGACTTCCAGGGGGTGTAGTTTTGAATGACTGCGACAAGGGATAGGATGTGGTAAGCCTTATGGCAGCAAGTACAAAGAACTATGAGACTGAAGAGTGTCATAATTAAGAACAACAGTTCTGAAATACCTGTGTACCAGTGCTGGATCTCCTATTTGCTAGCTAAAGTGAGAACCAGAACTCGACGGGACTGCCTTGTTTTTCCGGGTCTCCCAAGTTTTCCGCGTTTGACAGGGTGCAGTCTTACCACTTTTCTATTGCTCGGTTTAGTGGAAAATATTTGAATTTTCCTTCTCTGATAGGGGTTCTAGCTTTCGCAGGTGTTACTGTATTTGATTTGAGCAAGTAACCTTCTCAGTGCCTGTTTCCTCATATGTAAATTACGGCTGATAACACCTAATAGGGTTATTGGGAGGGTTAAATGAGATAATCCATGTGAGTTGTTAGTAACAAGCTGGCCGGCATTGGGTAAATGGGCAACAAGTGTTAGAGATGATTATTTTATCATTATTGCAGTCTGGGGGTTGAGAGGTCAGAGATGCCTTCTGGCAGAAGGCAGAGTTTTGAGTTGGCCTTAAAAGCTTCCATGTTTGAATTTTACTTCTCACAGTATCAAGAAGCAAGGTAAGGCCATTTCTTCACTCAACACTTTTCTGTTGGGACTCTCAAGGTATCAGTTAGGTTTTCAAGTAATTGACCTTCACAGTAGAAATGTGAACAGTGGTCTGAGTCATCTGGAATTTGCTGCTCTTTGGGCCTAAAGAGATTGGTCACCATTCTTAAGCCTAACTGGAGCCCCGGTGGCGCAGTGGTTAAAAGCTCGGCTGCTAACCTAAAGGTCGGCAGTTCAAATCCACCATCCGTTCCCTGGAAACCCTATGGGGCAGTTCTACTCTGTCCGTTCCTATAGGGTCATATGAGTTGGAATCGACTCAACGGCAATGGGGTTTTGGTAGGAGGAGTGACCGTAATGCAGCTGATTTTTCTAAACATACTATGAAACTGTCTTTAAACCGAAAGGAAAGTTTTATTATTCTTCAGAGTTGTCACTTTGGGAGGCTAAGAATTATTCCAGTGGTGCCCATTGATCAGCTTTAAACATTGTCTACACTGCCTGTAATAAGTGGACAATCTGCAGATCTTAGTACAAGTTGACTGGAGTAAGTCAACATTACTAGTCTTAGTTTTGAATGTCTTGTGCCACCGTAACCATTCTGGAGGCAAATTTGGTATGTAAGTTGGATGATGCCATTGTGGGTCCAAAAGGAGGAATACTGTGTGATGGTAAAGAAATGCAGCCAGTTGTGATGCAATGGCAAGAGGACTAACTTTGGAGTCAGGCAATCTGGGCTCAGATTCCAGCTCCATCTCTTACTAGCTGTGTAACCTCAGGCAGGAAATCCAGGCCTTGTTTTCCTTATTTGTAAAATAAGGGTAATACCTGTCTGGCAGAGGTGTTGGGACTAAATGAGACAATATGACAACATGTGCAATCTATTTGTTACACATTACCAGTTGCCATCAATTCCAACTCATGGCCACTCCATGTGTATCAGAGTAGAACTGCACTCCATAGGGTCTTCAATGGCTGATCTTTTGGCAATAGATTACCAGGCCTTTCTTCTGAGGTGCCTTTGGGTGGACTCAAACTGCCAACTTTTCAGTTAGCAGCCTAGTCTTTGAACTGTTTGTGCCACCCAGGGACTCCCGTTGTTATGCATTAAGTGCTCAATAAAAATGCCTTCCCTAAGCTGAACAGTTTCAAAAGGGGAGCCCCAAAAAGACTGCAAGACAGTGGCAGTGTGGGAGTAGGTGTGTAGCCTGTACACTGGAAAGACAGTGTAAATGCTGGCACACAGGTCCAGGCTATGGGTTCTTTTAAGTACCAGTATAACTCAGAGTAACAAGCACCTCATAGCTTTGTTTTACATAGTAATATATTTTGGGAGATGCTGCCACGTAGTGGTAAAGACTGCAGACTCTGCAGATAGACTGCCTGTGTTACCTTGAGCAAATCACCTAACCTCTTTATGCCTTAGTACAGTAGGGATAATACTACTTTCCTGAATGGGCTGGGAAGATTAAATGAGATTACCTATGTAAAGCCTTAGCAGAATCTGGCATGTGGTAAGCTCCCATATATTTAGGTATTATTATTAACATTGGAGCCCTGGTGGCGCAGTGGTTAAGAGCTCAGCTGCTAACCAAGAGGTCAGCAGTTCAACGCCACCAGCCGCTCCTTGGAAACTCTACGGGGCAGTTCTACTCTGTCCTATAGGGTCACTGTGAGTCGGAATCGACTCAGCGGCAATGGGTTTTTGTTTTTTTTTTTTTAATTAACGTTAATCCTCCTTGACTTCTCGATGGGTGGGTGTTGACCTCACTGTGATAGACAGGGAGCTCCCTGAACACCAGGCTTCCTCCTTCACTGTCTCTCCCCAGGGCTCAGGAAAGAACTCTTAAAGAGCAGTCAGGATGGAGTTGATGGATGACTGGTATACTTCCTCCTTTGCTCTTTAAGGGGTCATAGTGACTTCTTCCCTGGCGAGGACCTAAGGACACAGACTTTTTTCTCACCATGAGTGTCACCCCAGAGGTCAAGAGTCGTGGGATGAAGTTTGCCGAGGAGCAGCTGCTAAAACATGGATGGACTCAAGGTGACCCCACGGGGCCCCTCCACATCCCAACTCTGCCTACCCTCTGCCCAGGAGAGAGGCCAGACTCAGGCATCCTGGGATTACCCTCATCTAGAGCATTCAGTAAGAGGAATAAAAGCTAGTTTAAAGAGAAGTTTGCAGAAGACATTTTCTGACTCTTCCAGAAAAGGGAGGAATGGAAGAAACTTGACAGTGGGTAGTGAGAACGAAGAGGCTGGGAGGACTGGGGGAGGGAGAAAGAGATGTGGCCTCTGTCCTGAAAGAGTTATGAAGGAAGAGATAGTTCAGGCTTGGACAAAGGCAGGGGCACCGCACGGAGTAGTGCTAGAAAGACTGGAACTGGGAGGGCTCCTGGGAGGGCTGGAGTATGGCCCAGCACTGTGTGTGTGGAATGGCAAGGAGTGGCGTGTGTGGAGGGTGCCTCGTGAGGGCTTGAGGGAGGCAGCAGGATGAGCCAAGTCACTCACTGTCCTCTGCAGGCAAAGGCCTGGGCCGGAAGGAGAATGGCATCACCCAGGCCATCAGGGTGACACTGAAGCAGGATACTCATGGGGTAAGACTGGGCAGGCAGAGGAGGTCGGCGTGGATGGGAGGAGGCAACCCTGGAGGGCAGGCAGGGCAGCTGCTCAGAGCTCATGCTTCTTCCCCTGGCAGGTGGGACATGATCCTGCCAAGGAGTTCACAAACCACTGGTGGAATGAGCTCTTCAACAAGACTGCAGCCAGCTTGGTCGTGGAAACTGGGCAGGTATGAGCTCTAATAAAAACAGGCGCATGAAACTCAAAGGCTGGGGCCAAGTGGGGTGAGGACGACATGGCACGTCACCCACTCACATGCTTTCCCACAGGATGGAGTTCAGATAAGGCGCCTTTCTAAGGAGACTACCCGACATGATCGTCCCAAGCCCAACTTGCTGTATCAGAAGTTTGTGAAGGTATTAGAGGCTGGGGGTGAGAGGTCCATCCTTTCTTCCTTCCCTGGTCTCCCCTGGGGCCAGGACAATTGCCTTGCGAGCCCTCCTATTCTCAAAACTGCCCTAACATAGGATCCTGTAACCACCTTGTTGCTCAGTTAGACTGCCCAGACCCTCAGCAAGAATTGAGGTCTTCAGGCTCCACAGATTGGGGTAGCAATAGGGAGTGGGAGGTGGGCATAGTCCCTCCAGCCCAGAGCTGCCAGAGCAGGGTCGGGCGTAGTCTCAATTCAAAGGATTTAGAAGCCAGAGGAGACCAGAGAGGTCACCTCATCCATCCTCCTTATTTTGCACGTGAGGCCAGAAGGGGAAAAGCGACTTGTTGAAGAGCCCACAGGTGGTTAGTAACAGCAGACAGGACTAGAGCCTAGGTCTTCAGACTCCCGCTTTCTACTGCCCCCTGCCGGCACTGTACAGTAAAAAAGAAAAACCAAACCCATTGCCATCGAGTCAATTCCGAATCAGCAACCCTACAGAACAGAGTAGAGCTGCCCCATAGGGTTTCCAAGGAGTGGCTGGTGGATTTGAACTGCCGACCTTTTTGGTTAGCAGGTGTGCTCTTATCTGCTGTGCCCCCAGGGCTGAGATGATCCTTAATGATCATCTATTACATGCTAAGGGCTTTACATGTTATCTAGTCAGTCTTTCCCATTCCTCTGTCTCTGCTGCCCCAGTTCCTGCCATCATCATCTCTTGCCTGATTTCCTGAACAGCCTCCTAACCAAACTCCTCACCTCTAGTCTCACTTGCCTCCCTAATCAGTCCATCTCCACAAAGTATCCAGAATGTGCTGAAACACAGATTTCACCATGTCCCTGGCTCCTCTCTGACCTAGGATGATGAGTCCTGACTTACCAGCATGCTTTGCTTGGCCCCCTTCATGCCTTGTGCCTGCCTTCTCCAGCCTTGTCTCTTACCACTCACTTCTCTCCAGGACTCAACATTTAAGCCAGATGGAATGTTTCTCTGACGGTACCACGCTCTCTTTCACCTTCGTGCTTTTCCACATGCTGTTCCCTCTGTCTGAGACATTTTTCTCCCTTTGCCTGATAACTTGTTCTTGTCTCCAGGACTCAGCTTACACATCAGTTAATTCCAGAACCCCCACCTAAATCCTGCAGTCTGAGTTAGGTGCCTCCTGCAGCACAGGCGACTTCCATCATAATGGCCTGTGTTCTGCCACGCTCTTCTCCCTCCACCATGGAGGTTCTGCTTGGGCTGGACCCAGCTCATTCGTACTCTACTCTCTATCTGCAGCCCCTCTGCCCATAGTAGGTTCCCAGTCATACTGCTTAAATGGAGGGACTTCATTTAATGCTGGTTACATGTACATAGCTACTAGGGGCGGGAAAGTGCCACCTTTGTCCGTTACTGGCACAATGGGATGACCAGCAGGGGGCACTTATACTACTGGGAAGACCCGATGACCAAGAGCCCCTCCCTTGAGGGTAAGAGTTCAGCCACTACCCGCTTCCAGAGCTGCTCCGTCTCCCAGCAACTGCCACCCACCTCTTGCCGGAGCTAGAGCATGCAGGATGGTACACCTCTGTGTGGGTCTGCACTGTTGGGGGCTGGCAGATTTGCATGGGCCTATGGCTGTGAATTCTTGGGGGGCTTCCCTGAGGGAACAGGGATGGCAGTGGTGTTGAGTGGGCCTTCCCCACCTCTGCGATCCCTCCTTCTAGACGGCCACGCTGACTTCAGGCGGGGAGAAACCAGACAAGGACTTGGAGAACTGCAGTGATGACGACAACCAGGGGCCCAAGACCCCAAAGATGTGAGACTTCATTTTAGTGCCGGGGGCATGTGGGAGGAGATGTCCTCAGACCTCAAGAGAAAGGACCAAGTCTACTGCTGACGTGGACTTCTTGAGCGGGGGTGGAACTGTCTTGTACTAATCTTTGGATCCCAGCACCTAGAAAAGTACCAAGTCCTAAACAGTAACTCCATGCTGAGGAATGTTTTAGAGGGGAAGAGAGGTTAAACCTTATCTCCTGATCTCTCCCCACAGTCTGACCGATGAGATGCTGCTCCAGGCCTGTGAGGGGCGAACAGCACACAAGTAAGTAACAGCCAACTCCTTTTTTTTATTATTATTTTATTTTATTTTTATTGTTCGTCAGGTGAAGGCTTACAGAACAAATAGTTTCTCATGAAACAGAAGTACACATGTTGTTTTATGACATTGGTTAACAACCCCACAACATATCAACCCTCTAACTTCTCAACCTCTT